CCTAGGGTGGAACCTTTTTAACAATGTATTTAAGTTACTTGTATAGTGCAGCAGATTTATACAAGAAAGTATACTGTGGAAATGTGTTGTATTAAAACCTGTTGGAATTAATGGGTTAATGTTTATTAAAATAACAAAGGTATTTCATATTTGCAAAAAAAATAGCTAACACTGTAAAGGGAAACTGTTTGAGATGTTTTTCAAATGAAATGTTAAGCCTTGAGTAGTTACTAAAGACCTCGTGGGATTTGTTTCATCAGTGAATTTTGGTGTTCAGCAATTTTAAAATTCTTTCCTTAAATTAACAACCATTCTTATTTTTTGCAATCTATTACAGTAAAAAGTGGAGAAACATGAAAATACCTCCAACAATTTTGAGCACATCTCTCATTGCTGATTCAGATTTAAGAGATTTTTGATCACAACTACAACTGCTTTCTCTTTAAAAGCTTCACCCAGCGTCCAAACACTAATCAGCTATTGCATCAAGAAGTATTTTCTCATATTGAAGACGGAAACAGAGTTAACGTTTTGAGCCTGATATCATTTCAAAACTGAAGAATCGTAACTCTATTTCTCTCTTCACAGATGCTACCAGATCACGAGTTTCTCCAGCATTCTCTGCATTTGCTTCAGACTTCCAGCATCCACAGTATTTTGCTTTTTTTTTCTCGTATTGCTTTCACTTCTTTTGCCAATTACTTTAAATATGTGCTTTCTCATTCTTGCTCCTTTGATGAAGAGGAACTGTTTCTCACTATCTATTCTGCCTCTCAAAATTTTGAATATCTCTATCAAATCTCCTTTCAGCCCTTTCTTCTCAAAGGAACGCAGTCCCAGCATCTTTAGTCAATCTATATAACTGAAGTCTGACATCCTTGGAACCATTTTCATGCATTTTTTCTGCACCCATTTAATTCTTCACACCCTTCCTAAAGTGAAATGCCAAAAATAGGATGCAATATGCTGAGACTGAACTTCTATCTTATACAAGTTCAATGCAATCTCCTCGTTCTTGTACTTTATGCTCCTATTAATGAAGTCTAGGGTACTATATACTTTATTAACTGTGTTCTCAACCTGTCCTGTCACCTTTAATGGATTATGTAAATATACACTCATGTTCCTCTGCTCCTGCACTTTTTGTTTCTTTTACCTCTTCGTGATCTTCCTTACAAACTGAACAACTTCATGTTTTCCCATATGGAGCTTCATTTGCCATCTACCTGCCATTTAACTAACTTGTCAATATACTTTTACATTGTAAATATTCCTCGTCGCAATTCATAATGAATCAGATTTTTTTCTTTTTAATCAGAAATAAATTGTGAAATAGTGCCCTATATGCCAAGGTCCAGGAAATTAGTATATATCAGGAAAACAGGGGCTTCAATAGTGATACCTGGGATATTCCAGCTTAAACATTCCTCCAGCTCAAAAAAACATATGTTGTTGTTTCTTGTACTCCACAAATGTGGTACACTGCATTTATTGGTGTTGCAACAGAAGGGGTCATACTCATTGTCCATGTATCAATAGTGCCTATGACTTCACTGATAAGTAGAATTGGGAATGGGGGGAAAACAAACAGAGTAGGGAGTGGAAGATAGTGGGGGTGAACAATCAGGGCTTGGAACAGGAGGATGGAGGGTTAGGGCTTAGCAGAGTGGGAGAGTGGAAGGGGAAGGAAGAGAAGAGTCGAGATCAGGACAGCAGGGTAGGAAGGTGAACATAGGGAGCGGGAGAGCATAGCTCTGATTGTTCGGAATCCCTACCCCCAGAGTGTGGAGCGTAGACAGCAGAGCTGAAAGCTGGAGTGGGAGACTGCAGGGCAGGGAACAGAAGAGCAAGACACCGGTGCTGTGAGTGAAGGGAGGGTGATAACGGTTTCTTGGACGCAGCAACATCACATGCACATGCAAAAATGCAGCTTCTGTCATGGCAGTTTGACATCATTGCCACCTGTGTAAGTGGTGGCCATCTTTGCTGGTCATTTTGGTGTTGCCAATAGGCACTCTGAATTTTGTATCCATATTGTTACTTAGAATTTTCTTTCATTAGCTATAACTTTTCTCACAAGTCTGTTGTGGGCATTGTATCAAACACTTTTTGGACATCCATGTATACAGTCAACATGAACAATGTTGCCCTCATCAATTCTTCCTGTTATGTTTTCAAAATATTCCAGCTACTATTTTAGCTAAACAAATTTCCCGTGACTATTTCCTTCCAGTAATACCTCACAAAATTATGGTTTCACTGCAACAACAATTGTGTTGGCAATATGTCCAGGTAGCCTATGTGAGAGTTTAGTGGTGTGACATGTACAATTGTAAGTAACACTATGGTTGAACAGAGAAGCAGGAATAAACCATTCAGCCTCTCGAACCTGCTCCACCACTCAAAATCATCTACCTCAATTTCATTTCCTTGTACTATCCCCAAATCCCTTGATTTTTTTTGATACCTAGAAATCAATCAGTTTCTGCATTGAAGAAATGTAATGACTAAGCTTCAAAATACCTCCAGGGTAAAAAATTCCAAAGGTTCACTACCCTCTACATGAAGAAGTTCTTCCTCCCCTCAGTCCTAAATAACTTGCCCCTTATTCTAAGAGTGTGTTGTCTGATTCTAAACTCCACAAGAAGGGGAACCATCCTTCCTACACTTACACTGTCTACCCCTTTAAAATTAAGTTTCGATGGCATCACCTTTTATTCTTCTAAACTCTCACAAATACAGGGGCAGTCTCCTCACAGGGCAGTCTTGCCATCCCAGGAACTAATCTGGTGAACCTCCATTGTACTCCTCTGTGACAAATATATCTTTTATTGGGTAAGGGGATCAAAACTGTAGAGTATGGCAGATACAGTGTCACCAAGCTTCTATAAAGTTGGTGTATGACATTTTTACAGTTATACTCACCCTACAGAGTTCATACTTGACAACTACACATGAACATTTCCCTTGAGATAATAAGGTGCAGAGCTGGATGAACACAGCAGGCCAAGCAGCATCAGAGGAGCAGGAAGGCTGACGTTTCAGGCCTAGACCCTTCTTCAGAAATGGGGGAGGGGAAGGGGGTTCTGAAATAAATAGGGAGAGAGGGGGAGGCGGATAGAAGATGGATAGAGGAGCTGATAGGTGGAGAGGAAACAGACAGGTCAAAGAGGTGGGGATGGAGCCTGTAAAGGTGAGTGTAGATGGGGAATTCGGGGGGAGATACATCAGTCCAGGGAGGATGGACAGGTCAAGGGGGCAGGATGAGGTTAGTAGGTAGGAGATGGGGGTGGGGCTTGAGGTGGGAGGAGGGGATAGGTGGGAGGAAGGACAGGTTAGGGAGGTGGGGACAAGCTGGGCTGGTTTTGGGTTGCGGTAGGGGGAGGGGAGATTTTGACATTTGTGAAGTCCTCACATACCACCCCACCAACCTCCGGATCCGACGCATCATCCTCTGACACTTCCGCCATCTGCAATCCGACCCCACCACCAAAGACATTTTTCCCTCCCCACCCTTATCTGCTCTCCGGACTCCCTTGTCCGCTCCACACTCCCCTCCCTCCCTTCCAGTCCCTCCAGCCCCACCACACCCAGCACTTTCCCTGCAACCGCAGGAAGTGCTACACCTGCCCCTACACCTCCCCCCTCACCCCCATCCCAGGCCCCAAGAAGACTTTCCACATCAAGCAGATGTTCACCTGCACATCTGCTAATGTGGTGTACCGTATCCGCTGTTCCCGATGTGGCCTCCTCTACATCAGGGAAACCAAGCGGAGGCTTGGGGACCGCTTTGCAGAACACCTATGCTCGGTTCACACTAAACAACTGCACCTCCCAGTCGCGAACCATTTCAACTTCCCCTCCCATTCCTCAGACGACATGTCCATCCTGGGCCTCCTGCAGTGCCATAATGCTGCCACCCGAAGGTTGCAGGAACAGCACCTCATATTCTGCTTGGGAACCCTATCAATGTGGACTTCACAAGCTTCAAAATCTCCCCTCCCCCTACCGCATCCCAAAACCAGCCCAGCTTGTCCCTGTCCTTCCTCCCACCTATCCCCTCTGCCCACCTCAAGCCCCACCCTCATCTCCTACCTACTAACCTCATCCCACCCTCTTGACCTGTCCGTCCTCCCTGAACTGACCTATCCCCTCCCTAACTTCCCACCTACACTCACCTTTACTGGCTCCATCCCCACCTCTTTGACCTGTCTGTCTCCTCTCCACCTATCTTCTCCTCTATCCATCTTCTATCTGCCTCCCCCCTCTCCCTATTTATTTCAGAACCCCCTTCCCCTCCCCCATTTCTGATGAAGGGTCTAGGCCCGAAACGTCAGCCTTCCTGCTCCTCTGATGCTGCTTGGACTGCTGTGTTCATCCAGCTCTGCACCTTGTTATCTCAGATTCTCCAGCATCTGCAGTTCCTACTATCTCTGAACATTTCCCTTGTTGACCGCTATTATCTCTAAAGTTCATGAGTAGCAAAGCCAACTGTCACATTCCAACGCCTTCTCATGCTCTTTGCAGCATTCCCTACCTGTGGTCCATGGGCTTCTCTCATGCCAATACTAATACTGCTGAAAAACAAGACATTAGGAGATTTGTTACCAAAGAACATTTGAGAAATGCCTTACGAATGGCTGTCTCTGATTTTGCCTTTTCACCTTGTGAAGAGGCACCTGGATTCTCCTTGCTAACATCCATAACAGTAGATGGGCTCGGGCTTACGCTTCATATGAGGTTGGTGTTGATGCTTTGCCACTAAATGAAATTAAGTTAAACTGACACAATAAAGAGGTGGGTGGTAGGGGATGGAGATAAATAGCACTTAACAACCACATGCACATATTTCTCTTGTTCCAACTGCTATTATCTCTCAAGATAATGATCCAAATCTGTTTTGAAAAAAATGAACATGCAAAAACATAGACCATTAGTGTCAAAAAAATGATTTTGTTTATTGCTTTGGAAAGAGACAATTTATAAAAAGCAAAATATTTACTGAATATACTTAGGTTTTTTGTTAGTATATCTAGTGACAATAACCACAGCTTCATTGCTAAATGCTGAGAAGGAAATTAGAATCCACTATGGACCTGGAATTTGACTTTTTGTACTTGGGGAAAATTAGTTGCTGATTGCTGTCAAGATTATGTACTAATGACAGCAACTTCTGGTCTCTGCATATGTGTGGCTAAGTGTGGAAACCCTAAAGTTTCTGTTGGAGACACTGGTCCTGTCTCTGCACAATAAGACTGTTGCAGTCATTGCAGGTGCAATCAGCACAGGACTAGTAATTTTACATTAACTTTAATATTTTAAGTTCTATTCTCATTGAAAATGAAAAAACAATGTATAAGTTAGGACTTCTTGAATTAACTCTTAAGTGTTCTAAGTCACAATTATTTATAAACAACCTCGCTGAACCTTAGAAATACAGAATGCTGTTCCTTATATTTCAATATAAAAATTCCATATTTTTAAAATTCATATTGCAACAAATAAAAGGTAAAATTAACTTAATCTCTACCTTTAACTCTGTGCTTGACCTAATTGTTATCGTACCTTCTGTAAAATGATTAAAGAGTGAATTTGCAGATTTCCTGCAAAAATTCCTCAATTTGGTTGGCTGCTCTGCCTTTGCTGGATGTCAAAAGTTCTCCATGGAGAGCTCCAGTGTGAAATTGGCATAGTAATAGGGGACAGCAACATCACAGAATTTGCTAAATCCTTTTGGTCTATTTTTATTTCAAAAATATACTTTATTCATATAAATATCTTTATATTATATTGACATACAGTCACTAAAGCAGTTTGATTCTGTATGGCAGCATATGAAGAAACAAACAAACATTGGCGTTTAGCTCTATCCAACAAACAAACCAAAGGCAGCTCTTACTTGTGTAAGATTATAGTAACATATAATTGAAGTACCAGGAGGGTCTGATAATTGAACAGACCCCCATTTGACTTTGGCAGAAAGACCTCAGACAGTGGTTTCTCCACACTTTGCCTTGGCAGCAGCTGCCCCAAGTTTTAGTGCATCCCTCAGCACGTAGTCCTTGACCTTGGAATTTTGCCAGTCTGCAACAGTCGATTGGGGTCAACTCCTTGTTCTGGAAGACCAACAAGTTTTGGGCAGGCCAAAGGCTATCTTTCACCACGTTGATGGTCCTCCAGGCGCAGTTGATGTTTGTCTTGGTGCCTCCTGGGGAACAGACTGTAGAGCACAAAGTCCTGAGTCATGGAGCTGCTTAGGATGAACCTCAACAAAAATTACTGTATCTTTCTCCAGAATTCCTTTGCAAAGGCACATTCCAGCAGAGATGGATGATAGTTTCTAACCTCCCCCACAGCCACTTCAAGAGCAGCGTGCAGTGGCACAGACAGACTATGCATAGGAAATGGATCTCAAAGGTAATGCCTTTCTCATCACCAGCCAGTGCTAGTTGGAAAGTTCTGGTGATGAGGCATTTTGCCAAATGACTTTGACAGCCTGCTCAGGAATCACGACAGGATCCATCCTCTCCTTGCTTTTGGATAGCTTTCTTCAAGGTTACTGATAGCTCACAATTTCAGGAACTTTGTTTTTGGCAAAGGCACTTACAGCCTCCTCCACGCTCCTTACATTAATGTAGACGATGTACTGTTTTGAAGTCACCCACATTCAAAAATTCATTATCTTGTTGGCACAGGTGATTTTAATACAAACAGGCTACCTTTTACTGGGAATTGACTGTACCTACTCCTCCAGCGGCATCGCTCCATTGCAGGACATGTGGGAAGATCAAATTGCCGAAGACTAATTCTACAAGCCCGCCTTGATTTTCCGTTCTGTGTGGAAATGTAAACATCTGACTTCCTGAGGCGATGCTGACCTAACGTTCTGTCATGCCAATCTTACTTGCAAAATATAATTACAACTTCAACGCTAAGTATTAATGAGGTGGAAGAAGAACCTGACTTGCGGGAATTATTGATCCCAATAGCATGAGCCAGCTGTAAGACGCAGCAAAAGCTCTGGACCGATGATGCATTTATAACTTCTGTGTTTTATGTTCTTTATATTCACTAAGATATCTAGCAAATCATAGCATACAGTTCTGGAACGTTTGTATATGGTCGCGTGTTTTGTCGAAAAAGAGTAAAAATCTATAGGATTATTAAACACTTTATAGTTCAATTTGTGTGACATTAATATTGCTTGAATTATTTGTTTACAAGCCTCTTCATTTTTAGGCAAGAGACTTAAGAGAACGGATGGGGCAAGGCTTTTAGGTGTATCTTACCAAAATATAGAGATTTGGCTGAGGATTCAGAAAGAAATACGTGCATTTCCGCAAGGATTACAGAATAGCAATCCGGAAATTGAATTGCTGTTGATTCTTCCCTCCGGATGCCAGCGCTAAAGCCGACTACAGCATTCACATGAGCACCCTACCTGCGGTTAGTTATATCAGTATAGGCTGGGTAACCAATTAGGGAAAGTCTCGGCCAGAGGGAGGCAGACACTTAGAGCAGTAATAGGAGAAAACATTACTCAATCACCTTTTGACTAAAAACGATGGTCAGTAAAAGGGAAAGGTAAAACACATACCACAAATGCACTCTCAAATACTTACTCGTGTGACATTGGGCATTTATCTGCTTTAATGAGCATGATCAATGTTCATTATTCACCTAAATCTGCACGATTTCTCATTGGCATTGTCGGTTTCAGTAGGTGTGATCTGTCACACGCATTTTGCTGGAAAATTTCACGCCTAACAAATGTCCAATTTGGATATCTTTGCCCCATATACAGCAAACGTAGAGGCCTGTTTTTTTTTACCAAAGAGAATTATGATGTGCTCATTCTTGTTATGGAGTAATTTGGACAGGAACTTCCAATCCATTCACAACTGCAGTTGCACACAGAAATCAAGAAGTTGTGTCCAAGTTATTCTAGTCCTCCCCAGGATCTACAACAGTAGCACCTCACTGGGCAATGCATTAAAATCTACATTAAGGCATTGAGTTTGAGATACTTGCTTTTTAATTACACACTGGAGACTTCAAAAAATGTCTTTTAATGTTGTGACCAGTCACAATTACTTCCAAACAACTTGAAAATACAATTTCAATATGATTTTGTGGAGTCTCACTCCTGCAGTGCAATTAGTGTAGTGATTTGAAAATAACTTTTCTGTTTTAATTTGTTTGGAATTCCATTTTGCCTTCTCAATTTTGTTTTTCACTTTCTGAACATGATTTCAGTCTTAAGTTATGTCTGACTTAGAAAATGTTCATGTTCTTTTCGAAGTGTGCATAGACTTGGTGACCAACAAACTTCAGTCTCACTTGCAAACATGATCTCACCTCTGGCTGCTTTCCCTGGAAACAGACTGAGTACACTGTCGGGAACCCATCCACCAATGGACAGAATGCAACTGCAGACTTGTCACCAGACCCTTGAAGCTTCCATCTATCAGCAGCTTACAAGAGGTAAGAGCACAATGCAATATGCCAGTGGACTGATAGTTACAGCTAACCCGACCTTTACATGGTGAAAACAAGACTTGGATCATTATGGGCACAGGCCTGTCATTGCAATGATCTCTCATTGTGTCTACTGTCCAGGAGAGAACTCAGATTAAATACTAGTCTTCAGATGCTATCAGTCCCATATCTCTTTCATCATTAACTTTAGTGATTTATTTCAATAGTCATGATCTACTTGCTCCCTATTCAGCGGCACTCTCACTGCTGTCACAGTGAACACTGCCAGTCATGTTAACCTTGAGCTGGTGATGGGCCTTCCTGCCTCTCAGCTAGAATAGAATAGAATAGCCCAGTGATCCTGGAGGCAGGTTGTTTGGGTCCTTCTTATCAGGTCATGGCTGAACAACCTTTGCTGCTGCAAATGGGATTGATGCCTGAACATTTAGCAAATCTTCTGGACTTTAAGAAAGTTAGGATTCTTTAATCTGTTTAAAGTTTTGCTGTTACCAGCCCTTCTACACACATGTAGGTCACTGCATCAGATGCCGAACAACAGGTCTCTTCTCAAAAGCCTGAAAAAAATCTGTGGACAACTTTCAGTGAAATCTGTACCATAAATTTATTAACACAGCTAATGGTCCTTTTTTGGGCTTTATTTTAAATTGGGATGTTAATAAACCATAAAATTAGGAACCATATTTGAGCAAATGAGGTTAAATCTTCATGGATAGCTCCCAACATGTTTAGAAGAGGTGCAAGTAGACTTCCCAATATGCACTTTGTCCATTTTACTATTTGTTAATGAGTTATAGGCACCACTTACTGGACCAACATTCATTGCTCACTTCTAAATATCTAGTGTTAAAATTCAACCAAATAGCCCTAGCTCTTGAGTCACATGTAAGCAAGACCTCAAGAATGACAGATTTCCCACCCAATGTCTAAGATCTTTCTGCCGAAGTACAATGAGGGTTTGTTCTGTTATCAGAACCTCTCTTTACCTCAAAATGTATGTAAACCTTGTCTTGTACAAGTAGGAAATGCCTTTGGTTTTGCACTGCAGAGAATGTCAAATTCCAATATTTGTTTTTCCTTATGCAAAAACTAACAGAATTGCTTTGGTACCCATGGACATAAGGATTATTCATAAAAATGTATATTTTTGCAATTAAAAAAGTGAACTAGATGGTTTTTTATAGAAATAAACAGTAGATACATATTTGCTATTAGTCTGGCTTTTTAATCAAAATCAAATTTCACCATCTGTCATGTAAGATTCAAGTCCACGTCCCCAGAACGTTAGCCAAGGGTTCTCGATTACTAGTCCTGTGAAACTACCACTACTCCATGACCTTCCCTTATGCAAACATTTTTTGGAGGATCTGAGGGCATGCCTCCTGGAAAACATTGATCTTTTTACATAGTGCAGTCTGATTTATTTTAAACACTTTTTCTTAATTATTTTGTTTTAATTCAACAAAAAAAACCTGGAAGTTAAAGACGGCTCTTATCCTTTTTCTTAAGCAGCCCCTCCATTTGAACATGACTTGCTACGACTGGTTTAGTGAGTTCTAAGATGGCTGACAAATCTGCTGTATGAACTGCAAACTCTACCACATGTGAGGTAGGTGGTACTTTAAGGATCAAGTAGATAAGTTGTTTGGAGGTTTGAGTGTTCTCTCCTATATCTACAGTCCACGTCTGCAGGAAATCTTGCAATGTTTGGTGCTTTATTAAATGAACCTACTCTATTTTGGTCAGTTACAAGTCAGGGATTTGCATGTTTGACTGCTTCAGAGATGGTTTATGACATCGCTATAGCATTTTCCCATCGTCCTGGGAATCTCCTGCCACAACTGAATTCTTGAGTAAAGGAGTTGTTTTGGGAGTCTGGTGTCAGGCAGATGTAGATGTTCTGCTGTTGGACCTTTTTGTTTTTGTCATCGCATTTGGAGAATCCTGTAAAGACGCCATTGGTGATGTTTCTCCTATGATTTGAGATACATGCATATGAAAAACACCAAATGCATCAACAATTGTCCCTCTGTTGGCTGCCTTCTGCAAACCAGACTCTCCCCTCTTTGTACCCTCTAAGTAGTTGTCTCCCTGACTCATTTTATGCTTGTGGCCTCACAATACAACTTTCTTTATACTCCCTCCACCACCCCACCATTCCATCAACAATACTGTACTTTTTGGGGTTCACAAGATAAAATCACAGGTTACAATGAACATGGAGTAATTCCTGTGTGAAATTGACAAAAGCATTCCAAGCCTCTGAATCTCCAATTCAGCACCACCATCACAGTTGCTGTTTTTTTTTTTGCTGAGTCCAAAATTGGGCATTAAGAATGGCATTTAGCATGCAGTTAACTCGTGTATTTTGTCTAATTTTCTCAGATTCTGAAAGTCTTTTCTGTGTACTTACACCCCAAGGACTACAGTGGTTCAAGAAGAGGGCTCACCACCGTCTTCTCAAGGACAGTTTGGAATGGGCAACAAATAGCCAGTGGCACTCACAGTCTGTGAATGCATTTTAACAAAAAGTAAATGTCGCCAACTTAAAATGGACATATTTCTGGATGTTTCTTCATAGCATTCTACTACCCAGCATTCCTGTCAGTGGACAACTGACACAGCTGCCCTTCAATTTCACATACCAATTGGAAAGCAATCACATTCTTCATTGTGCAGTTGAATGAATCTTGACTGTTACTGCAACAGCTTTTATCCCCATCTATGCATTTTTTTAAAAATTAAATCAACTAAACACTTCAAAGGAAATAAATAGCACAATTTTTTTGCACCTATAATTCCTTTCTTTGGCTGATGACAAGTATCAAGCAACTGATGTTTAATTCCAGAATTTTCTAGGGCAATCCTAGACAGTTGGTAATCCTAACCTCACACCACTACATCACTCCATGTCAAGCAGGCTGACATTTGTCCACTCGAAACACATCACATTTGGAGATGGGAGAGACTTCTCTCCCATACTACCTATTCTCTAAACTGACAAAAGGTATCCAACAAAGGGAGTAAGCAAACCTCCCTCTTGTTGGCACACAATGCTGCAAATGTCTTCTTAACTTTCCATTCTGTCCAGTGCCCTACCTAAACGTTGCCACTTTTGAAACAAAAATAGAAAGAACATAGCACAGTACAGGCCCTTCGGCCCACAATGTTGTGCCGAATTTTTACCCTAAACCTAAGGTCTATCTAAGCTCCACTCCTACCTTATACTATCATCCATATGCCTATCTCATAGCTGCTTATATGCCCCTAAAGAGGCCGACTCCACTACCCTCTCCGGCAATGCGTTCCATGCCCCTACCACTCTCTGAAGAACCTACCTCCGACGTCTCCCCTATATCTACCTCCACTCACTTTAAAACTATGCCCCCTCGTAATAGCTACCTCCACCCTAGGAAAAAGTCTCTGGCTGTCCATTCTATCTATACCTCTGATCATTTTGTACACCTCTATCAAGTCACCTCTCATCCTTCATTGTTCTAAAGAGAAAAGCCCTAGCTCTCTCAACCTTTCCTCGTAAGACCTTCCCTCCATTCTAGGCAACATCCTGGTAAATCTCCTCTGCACCTTTTCCGATGCTTCCACATCTTTCCTGTAATGAGGCGACCAGAGCTTGACACATTACTCCAGATGTGGCCGAACCAGGGTTTTATATAGCTGGAGCATAACTTCACAGCTCTTGAACTCAATCCCTCTATTAATGAAAGCTAACACACCATACGCCTTCTTAACAACTCTATCCACCTGGGTGGCAGCTTTCAGGGAACTTTGGACATGAACCCCAAGATCCCTCTGCTCCTCCACACTGCCAAGAATCTTTCCATTAACCCTGTATTCTGCTTTCAAATTTGTCCTTCCAAAATGATTCGCCTCACACTTTTCAGGGTTAAACTCCATCTGCCACGTCTCAGCCCAGCTCTGCACGCTATGGTACATTATTAAGTCAGTCAATACAGATCCTAACACTATCTGTCTGAAAGTCATAGGGTATATTCCAAACTTGCATGACTGCAAAACAGCCACCCAGGATAAAGCAGAGTCAAGAAATCTACTAAAGAGAGGAGAGATCAATATCAAATACATGCACGCACACATTAAACAAACATATATAGATGGTATTATATATTTGGCCACAGGCCCAGATTTTGTGGTCAGAACGGATGGTGTAGGCAGCAAGTTACACTTTTCACATACTCGTGTGCAATGAAATTTTACACTGATATTTGCAGTAATTACAGAAATGAAACAGTGCAACATTTTCACTTGCAGACGTGACCTGTGCAAATAAGGCAAGCAATTATAAGGTAGATATGCCAAACAGACCGAAGAATCCCTACTGAGTCTAAACCAGGAAGAGTATAATAGATTATTCAATGTACTGTAGGAAAAGAAAAATAACATTAATATAAGGTGATGAGACGGAAAGAAAAACTAAAAAAAAAAGTCAGCAATGATGAAAATCTGAAAATGGGTGAGATGCTCTCTGGTCTAATGGGGTCCTGACGTTTAAAGATTATGAAATTCATTTGGGTGAGTTTATGGCGAGTGCACGGAGACAGGTTGGGGTAGAAGATACCTGCACGTGTATTCTTTGAATACAGGGTGATCATCGTACACCAACAACAACGGTTAAGCTAGGTTTGCACCCAGTGACAGGGAAGTCCGAGACGACTAGAGACCATGCTGTGTTGTAGGACAGAGGGGACTAGCAAATGTTCATCTTCCAGTAATTGTTACCAATTGTTACCATGATAGAGCAGGAGGCAAAGTCTATGGTGATGGCAACTAACAATGTCTAGGTGTTGGAGGCATATCCTGGGCCAGAGGCCAGGCCGCTTGCCAGCCCAAGCTTCTGTGGTGACAGGTTAAGGATCAAATCAAGATAGCGCACAGTGAGCTGAGAGAGGCCAGCTATATCCTGGGGATTTGCCTCAAGCCAACCTGTCTACCCAACCGTGCAGCATCCTGGCAGTCTGACTCGACCCTACCATATCCCAGAGGTGAAACAATTGGATTGTGATGGGAACCATTAACCTGGGCCTGTTCCTAAGAAAAAAACTCTTGCAGTTGTAAACATGGAACCTTCAGGTTTTTACTCAGTCCTTGCAGCTTATACTAGGTATTAAACGCTGCCCCTCTCCTGTCGGTTTGTCTTTGCTCCACACCACCACCATTTATACGAATTTGAATAGCAAGTCAGTCCCTGGGATAATAATATACAGCAGCTTGTGGAACAGCAGAGCAAATTGGACAGAAAATTCTGGGCAATATTTTTTGGTCAGCAATGAAGAAACAGTGATCACCACTGCCCTTGAAAGCTTACAAAGATCCAGAAAGGCTTGGTAACATGTATTTCCCCTTTCTAGATGGAAGTTAAAATTTGGTGCCAAATCTGGTGTTGTCATCAAGCAGGGCAAGCAGCCTATCACACTAAAGTATTCTTACAGTCAGCAAATGGGGGACGTTGGAAACACCAATTATCATTATCTGGAAATTCAAATTAGAAGTAACAAAGTAAATCAATTTTAAAATTAAGATGAAACTAAAATATCAAACTTTCAAAATAATGGGGATGTTCTTAGTGAGGGAGAAATTTTACAAAATTAAAATTCATTTTTTGGACAGGGGTGCTGTTTAGCACTAAATTAGAATATCGTGCACCATTAAAAACCCAGTTATGTCTTATTTAACAAAGTGTAACCTTTTCAAAACATGTTTCATTGAAACTAATAATGTCAAAGTTTCTATTAATGCATTGACTACCCATTGACTGTGATGCAACAGCGCACTTCACATGCAGATATGTGCAAAGGGTCAGAATGGTCCTCTGCACCTGCTGCTCTCATCAGGAACTGCTACAATCCAAGCTCCACCCTTCTCTACTGCAACACATGCTCCCCCTGCCCTGTTCTCTTGACATCACCTATGCTTTTTCTCCCCCTAAATGGTTGCTGAATGGGACTTTATTGCCCTACTGGCTGTTCTGTCAGATCGCAGTGATTGGCTAATTACGAATTTTATGCATGCACCCGCATAAACAGAGTTTGAACAGGCTTTGGCAAGCACATTGTGTAACAGAGTTACTGCTTGGATAATAGGATATTGTCCCTCATTGATCTGTAGAAAAATTCTCTGTTGGAAAGGTAAAGAATCTATGAAGTATACAAATTTGTTTGGGGAAGAAATTTCTGAAGTGATTCTGAACCTGAATTGTTTGTGAAATATTCCAGGAAGGGGGTCATAATACTAGTGGTGATTTTTGGAGGCATGGGGCTTAAATTTTTGGGTTGTGCTAGGGCAACTTATAGGAGATACCGGAATCAATTTAATCCACAAAATGTGAAATAATCAGGATAATGATATTTGTAATAATTTAGGAGAGACGCTGGGAGTTGCAAATTCCTGGGAAGCGTGGAAACTTAAGGCCACATCTGCAGATACCAACAGCAGCATACCTTAAGATGTAATATGCTGTTGCACATCTGGATGCCATGGAAGCCGTAAGATGGCAAGTGCACTAACTGCCTGAGAAGATTAAACATGGCTTTGTGAAAATTTCTCCAATATTTAATTTTGTATTGGATATTTTGGATCTGTGAAGTACTACCAATATGAACAGTTCACTGGAAAGTCGTAAGTCAGTCATTAATAGCTTACCCCACTCCCATTACAAAATATCCCCACCCCGACCAACACTCCAACCTGACTACCCATTCTTGCCTCCCCCACCCCCAAACTCACTCACTTCCATCCCTAAATTTCTTATTGTTTTTGAGGTATTTATCATTGAACAGAACATACAACTGTTGTGGGAAAGGGAAAAGGGGTGTGACCTCACCTCTTCTACACTGCACATTCTTCTGTCCTAGCACCTAAATCTGCTGCACCCAGGATTGGAAGACAGCTGCAGTTACCAAAAAAAAAAAAAAAAAAAAAAATTGTAATTCGTAATTGTCTTTTCTTACTGTTAGCTAGAATCACAACAGCACTGTTGCTAACTGGAAGGTCTGGCCCATTAAATTTTAACCTCAAATTCTTGGAATGTCTTTCAAGGCTGTTTTTGTAATTTTTCAATACTGTAAACTTCGAATTATTCACATAATAACAGGAACTTTGAAATTAACTTTTACTATATTATTCAAAAATGCTTTATGTATATATGTGCACAACTAAATACTAACAGGAACTTTTAAGCATATACTATTGTAAGTATCTACAGTATTATACAACAAAGATACCTTGCACAACTTAGAATTACTCATTGAAAACCAACAGGAACTTTGAACATAATTTTTCACAAATTGCTTTCACAGAAATTGTGTATCTGATCTCTCAGCTCCAATATGCATTACATTTTCATGAATTTTTTCCTGCTAATTTCAACAATTTATTTTTGATGAACTTTTACTTTTCACCTAACAGCATTCTTCCAGTAGGATGATATTTACCCAAATTCTCTTTGACTGATACACACTGACTCAAGTTTTGTGGAGCCTTTATTGGGCACTTCTTTGGAAGCAAGTTCATATGCGCATTTTTTTTTCATCTGACGTAGTTCCACAGCACTTCCCCTCATGTTTGAAGGTAGCATCTTCAAGTTTACTTTTCCCTTGTTCACTGTTGATTGGATCGTGATTTATGTGAACTTTTCATAATTATAACAATCTAAGCATGCTCCTGGAGGCCAAGAAAGCAGCAGCCATTATACTACCTAAATGTCATCAGTACAGTCAATTGCAGAATCAATAGTTAGTTTCTGACTTTGCGATATGAATGCTTGAACTGCTGGCATGAGTTCTTTCATTCATTTAAGATAGTATCACTTCTGTTCCATCTGCTTCTGTATGAAATTCTATTCTGTCAGAGACTGTCCAGTCACAACATGTCATTATTTCAATTTTTGTAGTTTCCTCCATGTATATGAACGAGCAGAATATCTCTCTGGGGATTTCTTTTCCGTACTGGGCTTAATTGGAACATGCAAACATGGTGACAAACAAATCTTCTAGTACATTTTAATTTTCAGTAGCCAGGTAGAGAAGATTTAGAGGCATTCTCTCAACATTGATGGCCAGAAAATTGAAACGACAGATGTTATGCTTCATTAATTCAAAGTAATGCTTATAAAACTGTGCGGCTGAACCAAACATGACCTGCACATTTCAAGCTCCATGTCCACTTGATACTACTTGTCAACAGTAATGCACTTTGTACCTGAATTAAGCTAGATTCCAATGGTGTCAGCATCTCTGTAATTATCCTGCCAGCTCCAAAAGATATTTCCCCGATATCGTTACTTCTGTTCTCCCACAGACCAAATCTATGATCCTTCTTTCACAGACCCCACAGTCCTCGTTGGATCCGATCCCTTTGGATTGCAGCCTAAGCACATCTGTTTCTGTTACTTCCATGCAGTGGCAAGTCTTGTCCGTGACAGACAGCTCAGAGTTGTCTTCTGTCATACAACGATGCCACATATGAGGCAGCTAGTACAATCTTTGTTTGTCGGATCCTATCAGTTACATTTCCGCTGAAAATCCTCACTACTGAGCATACACCAAATCTTTGACCAAACCTAACAATGGCATCAAATTTCACAAATACTGGTTCTTTCCATGATAAATACCTCCAAACAGCCTGTAGTAGGAAATTTGTGTTAAGGAAAAAAAAATTACTCCAATGGTAAAAAGTAGATCCATACAATTATCAAAGCACAATTGCTTCAGAAAACAAACAGATTTTCTCCCTTCCAGCACTGAACAGGAACAGAGTCCATGATGTGAGGAGGAAGAGCCAACTGAAGAGCAGGGAAATGTCAACCAGCTGATTTGCTTTTAACATAACAAAAAAGACCATGCACAAACAACCAATCATTCCAAATTTTATTATGCATTAACCACCATTATATTTAAATTAATATTTAAGTTATAGAGGTTATTGGAAAACTCTTGTTAGAACAGTCCTGGATGTGATTAGTAGCAGCAATAACAGAAGAGTTCATGTCCTGCAGTTACTTGTGAATTTTCTGGTGTTTCTGCAGGTGTGATGACTGAATGAATCCCTTCCCACATGCTAAACAGATGAATGGCCTCTCCCCACTGTGAACTCGCTGGTGTATCAGTAAGTGGGATGAAGTAATGCATCCCTTCCCACACTCGGAGCAGATGAATGTCTTCTCCCCAGTGTGAACCTGTTGGTGTGTCAGCAAGGTGGATGAACGAGTGAATCCCTTCCCACAGACTAAGCACATGAATGGCCTCTCCCCAGTGTGAGTGCGCTGATGGGCCAGAAGTTGCTTTATACTTTTAAAGCACTTCTGACAGTCGGAGCAATGAAAAGGTCTCTCCTCTGTGTGAACTTGCTGGTGTGTCAGAAGCTCAGATGACTGAATGAAACCTTTCCCACATGCAGAGCAGGTGAATGGCTTCTCTCCAGTGTGAATTCGTTGGTGTCTCTGAAAGTTCGCTGACTGGGTGAAACCCTTTCCACATACAGAACATGTGTACGGCGTTTTACCAGTATGAACTCGCTGGTGTCTCCGAAGGCTGGCTGATTGAGTAAAACCTTTCCCACAATCAGAACAGGTGAATGGTCTCTCCCCAGTGTGAATTCGCTGGTGTGTCAAAAGGCTAGATCTCTGTGTAAATTCTTCCCCACAAGCCAAGCAGCTGAATGGTCTCTCCCCAGTGTGACTGCGTCGATGATTTTCTATCTGGGATGGGTAACTGAATCTCTTCCCACAATATTCACATTTCCATGGTTTCTCCATATTGGGGTGGCCTTGTCTTTCTCCAAGACTTATAATCAGTTGAAAACTGATCCACAAATAGAACACATATATTCCTTTTTGCTATGAATAGCATGATACTTTTGCAGGCTGCACAATTAATTGAAATACTTCTTTCGCATTCAAAGGCTGCTGGTATTCAGGTCCTGAAGAATCGAGTAACCCCCTGTAAAAAGGAGTTTACAAAAACTATCATTTTCAGTTTAGGATCTAAAGTCACCAGATTCTCTTCTGCTTCCTGGCGCAAGATGGCTGTGCAATTGCCCTGTGGTACACTGCCCACAGGAGTCACAACATGCCTTACTGCACATTGTGTTTGGTTTTAAATTCAGGCAACATTTTGATTCCTAAAATTTGTGCAACTCATTTTTCACTTGTTATGTTTCTGAAAGACATATTAAGTTAAGTTTAAATGCCAAAATATGAAAAGCAACGTAAAAAAGATAGACATCTTAAAAACTGGAAATGTGAAATAAAGAAGTGTAAAATGGTCAGTGTCAATATCTGTGGAAAATGATACGGTGGGTACCTCATTTCTAAATCTTATGAGAAAATAAGTTTCAACAGGAGACCTTTTCAGTGCACCGATTGGTTGTTATTTCAAGGCACAATAAACATTTGCCTGAGTGGCTGTCGTGGCATGGAAATTTTAAAATATACATAAAATTGAGGAGTGGCAATAAGCATCAAGAGCACAAAAGAGGTCATGAGAGAAAAATCTACTTTTGCAAGTAATGCACAAATTACCTTCATTGATGTTTAATATTATAAATGTTCTGTTTAAAGTTCCTATTAGAATTATAGCATATTTACACACATATATGCAAAGTATCTTTGTTTGTCATTGAGCAGACATTGGCCCAGATTTCCCTGTGGGAAGACAGTCATTGCAGCAGTGTGGACTGGATTTGCACTTAAGGACCACATGGAATTCCCAACACATCTGACTCCCCGGGTATTGTGCCGAAAATTGAAATTTCAAACAGCCAATTACCTAATGTTTCGAAGCCTCTGCAAAAGTCCCAACTCAAGCCAGACCTTTTGGAGGGTTCCCAGTTTAATTACCCAGAATAAGTCAGAAGAATTAAAATCTGTTCTAATTGCTGGATCACTATTAAATTGAAACCCATGAATCACTAACGAATCCCCTATTTCAACGCCCCACGGACACCCTAGCCCTCCATACTCCCACACAAATTGGACCTGAGTCCCAGTTGCAGCCCTTACACTCCACTGTATCGAATCTTGCCACTAAGTGGAACTGCAGGAGTAGAGTTTTCAATCTAACCAGAAGATCTGGGCCGTTTCGTTCAAACAACTTATTGGTATTGATTATGCACACTTCTGTTCAAAGCAACTTCTATATTTCTCAACAAGGCTTTTTTCTAAAGTTCCTTTTAGTATTAATTCTACACATGTAATAAATCATCTCTTGAGTAGTAACACTTATGTTCACAGATCCTATTAACAATATGTGAATCAGTCTAATTCTACCAAGGTTTTGAAATTTCCCAACAGCCTTGATAAATAGAAATAAGGTGTAGAGCTGGATGAACACAGCAGGCCAAGCAGCATCGGAGGAGCAGGAAGGCTGACGTTTCGGGCCTAGACCCTTCTTCAGAAATGGGGGAGGGGAGGGGAGGGGAAGGGGGTTCTGAATAAAAAGGGAGAGGGGGGGAAGCAGATAGAAGATGGATAGAGGAGAAGATAGGTGGAGAGGAGACAGACAGGTCAAAGAGGCGGGGATGGAGCCAGTAAAGGTGAGTGTAGGTAGGGAGTTTGGGAGGAGATAGGTCAATCCAGGGAGGACAGACAGGTCAAGGGGGTGGGATGAGGTTAGTAGGTAGGAGATGGGGGTGGGGCTTGAGGTGGGAGGAGGGGATAGGTGGGAGGAAGGACAGGTTAGGGAGGCAGGGACGAGCTGGGCTGGTTTTGGGATGCGGTAGGGGGAGGGGAGATTTTGAAGCTTGTGAAGTCCTTCCCAAAATCCACAAACCTGACTGCCCTGGTCGACCCATTGCCTCTACCTGCTCCTGCCCCACCGAACTTATCTCCACCTATCTCGACTCCATTTTCTCCCCCTTAGTCCAGGAACTCCCTACCTACGTCCGTGACACCACCCACGCCCTCCACCTCCTCCAGAACTTCCAATTCCCCAGTCCCCAACACCTCACCTTTACCATGGACGTCCAGTCCCTACACACCTGCATTCCCCATACAGATGGCCTAAAGGCCCTCCGCCTCTTCCTGTCCCGCAGGCCCGACTAGTCCTCCTCCAATGACACCCTCATCCGCTTAGCTGAACTCGTCCTCACCCTCAACAACTTCTCTTTCCATTCCTCCCACTTCCTACAGACAAAGGGGGTGGCCATGGGTACCCACATGGGCCCAAGCTATGCCTGCCTCTTTGTAGGTTACGTGGAACAATCCCTCTTCCGTACCTACACTGGCCCTAAACCCCACCTCTTCCTCTGTTATATTGATGACTGTATCGGCACCGCCTCGTCCTCCCACGAGGAGCTCGAACAGTTCATTCACTTCACCAACACCTTCCACCCCAACCTTAAGTTCACCTGGACCATCTCTAATACCTCTCTCTCCTTCCTGGACCCCTCTGTCTCCATCTCCGGCAACCACCTAGAAACCGATATCCATTTCAAGCCCACTGACTCCCACAGCTACCTAGAATACACCTCCTCCCACCCACCTTACTGCAAAAATGCCATCCCCTATTCCCAATTCCTTCGCCTCCGCCACATCTGCTCCCAGGATGAGGCATTCCACTCCCGTACATCTCAGATGTCCTCATTTTTCAAGTACCGCAACTTTCCCCCCTCAGTGGTCAAGAACACCCTCGACCGTGTCTCCCGCATTTCCCGCAACTCATCCCTCACACCCCCTCCCCGCAATAACAACCAAAACAGAATCCCCCTTGTCCTCACGTACCACCCCACCAACCTGTGGATCCAACGCACCATCCTCCGACACTTCCGCCATCTGCAATCCGACCCCACCACCAAAGACATTTTTCCCTCCCCACCCTCATCTGCTTTCCGGAGGGACCACTATCTCTGTGACTCCCTTGTCCGCTCCACACTCCCCTCCAACCCCACCTCACCCGGCACTTTTCCCTGCAACCACAGCAAGTGTTACACCTGCCCCTACACCTCCCCCCTCACCCCCATCCCAGGCCCCAAGAAGACTTTCCACATCAAGCAGATGTTCACCTGCACATCTGCCAATGTGGTATACGGCATCCGCTGTTCCCGTTGTGGCCTCCTCTACATTGGGGAAACCAATCGGAGGCTTGGGGACCGCGTTGCGGAACACCTACGCTCGGTTCGCACTAAACAACTGCACCTCCCAGTCGTGAACCATTTCAACTCCCCCTCCCATTTCGCAGATGACATATCCATCCTGGGCCTCCTGCAGTGCCACAACGATGCTACCCGAAGGTTGCAGGAACAGCAACTCATATTCCGCTTGGGAACCCTGCAGCCCAATGGTATCAATGTAGATTTCACAAGCTTCAAGATCTCCCCTCCCCTAACCTGTCCTTCCTCCCACCTCAAGCCCCACCCCCC